ATATACCTCTTTCCTCTATCTGTCTCTATAATTTGAAGTAGGGATAAACGCACCTATACACACTTATATATTGCTAAAATTCTTATTTGGTCTAGGATTATACTTCAATTATTGCGTTTTAAACGGGTGATTTCAAATATCTTATTACTTTAATAGTCATTTTATTCTTTTCCAAAGCAAATTCTGACAATAAGTTATGAACTCAGATTTATAATCGAAGATCTGAAGCGTAAGATGGAGTGGCCCTCGGTATAGTCGCCAGCTCTTTTTGATTTATAGATGTGTGTTGACCTCATTTTTGTAACTTGGCCTTGTTGTCAGGACGGATTAATTAAGGGTACTTTGTCCGAAGTCCTCTGCTATAGTAGTTACCGTAATTCCCAGCATCGGATCGTGGAATTGGTACATTCATAATTTTCGCCGGTATCGTAGTCGGTATCATCAGCTAGTCTTGTGCTTTGCAGCAATCTACAACTCGTCAACTTGTCTCTTTGACTAGTTGTTGCTTGACGCAGAGAATGGCAGCACTCACTGATGATGTCGACTACGGTGCCGGCGAAACGTCTGAGAATATACCAAGTCCACTGTCTGATGCCGGGGGATTATGATAACTACTATGGCAGAGGACTTGGACAAAGTGCGTTCAACTACGTCCTCCTGACCAAGTTGCGAAAATGAGACCAATCCACTTCCACAGAGTTATAATATTCCGAACTTCTTGTTGCATTCTATTGATATCTCGAAATTTCTTTGATTAAGATTTCTATCAAATTTACTTATGCAAGTTATTTAATTAATTTTTTTTCTTGAGCTTACTATCTAAATAAGTTTATTGATTTGCAGGAAAATCTAGGATTTATGGATTCCCATAATGTTTCATAGTTACTCCTAACATTTTTTTTATTGTGTGGATATTTCGCCCTTTAACTTTACACACAACTTGTGCAGCTTATAATATCGTATGATCTTACACATTAGCACATATGGTACATGCTCACCTTATTATTCTTATCAATCACTTTTTGGGTATTGATAAATTCTAACGAAAAATAGCTTTTTTGAATACATTTGGGCAGGGTTCATCTCTACTTTTCGTTTCTTTCGGATTATACTACTTAGTTACGTTATCAAATGAGTTCATTTGTTGAGAATATTCACCTAGCTTTGCACTAATAAATGAGCGAGATTTTTCTATTATAAACGCGTGATTTTGACATAATCACTCTCAGTAAAAGGAATGACACACATAGACTAAATGGTATTATGGTTTTAATTCTCTCTAAATTAGCTATTTGTATATACTAACGTTTTGAACGCTAAGTAGAATTTTGTTTGCTGGCTATCTTAAATACTCCTTCGAAAGTAATGAGCTGAATGTGTTGACTCATCTGGATTTATGACTAACTCTCATTATGTTCCACCAATTGATCATCTTTCTTTTAATTTCACCCTATATCAGTTTGATCGGTTCCAATTACCTATTGCTAGATAAATTTTTGCTTTTTTCGACAGCAAGAACTAGTATCCATTTGTTACTCAGCTTAGTATTTTTTTATTTTAACATGCTTTTCCCAAAAATGTATATATTTTCTCCTACTACCTTTTCTTTCGGTAATGGATTTTTATATCATACTTTATGTCACTTATTTGTCGAATTTGGGCGATGAAGTTTTTTATTTCTAGGTTTTTTAAAGAAATCTTTTAATAAACCGTGTTTGTCATGTCTTTGAACTCCTAATCTTTCCAAATTTTCCACATTTATTTCATGCATTTCTTTCCCCTATTCACTTTATCAGCCGATTACTCAGTGACGAGCGAAAGCTCTCGAAGCAACTAACTGATGAACTTCAATCGGCCAGATCTCAATTAGCTGATGAGGAGGCGGAATTAATCCGTACTCGAGCTAAACTACAGGTAAGTTGAATTTAATTTTCTTCCTCATTGTTTTATACCACTCTTCTTCATCCTTATTCACACTTCCGTTTTTCTTTGGGAGGCTGCATAAAGTTATGAAAAACTGATAATTGAATTTTACTTCAATTCTATGAGTATGCATCATTTTTCTATTGAATTTCGCATAACCTTCCTTACAAAGAGCTATTTTTATCTAGATTGGACTCAATTTTTCACCCCGCCTAGATTTTATCAGTTCATTCAGCAAGTATCGAACCGTGCTAGTTCATCTTCTAATCCCCAGCGAGATTTATATCCAGATTGTAAAACGTCCAATATTAATATGTTACCACTGCGCAAAGTATGGTGTTCTCACGAGCCCCTTTGATGTTCACTTGTGTATATTATTCGATTGATTTTGACTGCTTTTTGTTGTTTTGCAGTTTTATATTCCACCTTCTATTTTTCCTATTGCAATTGCTTTCGTTTTACGATGAGCAGGAGATGTATCTACGCCTTACGAAAGAGGAGAAACAGACGCGTGCACACAATAGACGAATAAGTGAGCTGGAGGTCAAACTTACTGATGCCACCAAGCGGTAAGTCTTCTGTCATTGATATTTTATCTCATTATGTTTTTCCTCAATTGTGTTTTCCTACCTTTTTCTGCCATCTAATGGGTAATGTAAGAGGCCTATTAACAATTACATTGTGCAATCTATCTCTGCTTCATCGAAGCTTAGGTGGAGTTCCATTTCTTCTCCATCTCCTTTTGTAAGGCCCTAACTCTATAATTTGCGAATTTCAAGCTCTCTTGCTTCATTCTTTATGTTATTTATTTATAGAATTTAAATCGAAGATATAAAGATCAAGATGGTGTGGCTCTGATATGATCGCAGTCCCCTTTCAATTTATAGAAGTTGGTTAACTCTTTGTCACAACTTGGTCTTGTCGTCAGGGCGACTCAGTATAATGCATCTTGTCCGAAGTCCTCTGCTATAGTAGTTATCATAATTCCCACCATTATAATGTGTTTGATAGCCTCTCATTTAAGTTATTGATTTTCAAACATGGATTTTGCCTATTTTTGTGTTGCTCCATATTTGTTGTTGACTATCAGCCCTAGTGGCTCGTCTTCCTTGTGCATTCTTGGGAATCCGTAGGCTGTTTTTGGTTGTGCATTCTTTCTTATGATTGAATTTTTTTACTTGGGTCATTTTCACTGTTCCTATGCATCTCTTTTAGCATGTTTCTTAAGATTTTATTGATCTTCATAGTTATGTCCTTGTTTAGTATACGATATGTGGCCCTATCTCCTAGAATATGTTCCTTTGTCTGCCTGAATGATTAATTGTTCATTCATTTCCAGGGTTTTGCGTATAACGGCAACTCTGTTCCTGTGTTTGGCTCTTGATGTATCAGGATCTTTGGAATTAGTTTCATTTCCATTTCCTGTTTTGTCTCCCCAGGGAACTTGTCAGAAATATTGATAACTTCCATCATGATGTCTCCTAGAAGGCTTCTGTCATTTCGAAATGAAACGTTCTCTTTCTAGGAACGCGGTTATTTTAGGATTGAGCGAAAATATTGATAAGCTTTATACTTTTTTTCGATCGTTGTGCTGACCAGTAGGTGATGTCACCTCGAAAGCCACTTAAACTGGGCGTACCTAGGCTGCCTTATAATCCCAAACTTACGCAATTTATTGTCATGCTTTGTTATTAAATCTGATATCCTACGTGATCTGTCTGTCATGCTCTGGAGTTTTGTATAGTCTTCCGGAGTCAAGATCCTGGCCAGATCACGCCGGATCTTTAACTTAATATATATAAACTTAAATAGTTTATTCCTCCGTATCATAAGTCTCACTTGGTCCTGATGGAGATACTCATTAATCGAATGATAGGTAGGGTCTTTTAAGGTCACAAAATTTAGAAGTGATTCCAGAACGTTTACAACTGTTTAAAGAGATAAGCTGGGTAGATTGATTTACAATTGTCATTTATATCCAGCTGCATTAAGTGCTTTGTCTGGCGATTTTACTACCGTAGTTTAATCGAAGATATGAAGACTAAGATGTCGTGGCCCCAGGAACAGTCGCAGTCTCCTTTCGATTTATAGAAGTGGGTTGATCTCATTGCGCAAGTTGGTCGTGTTCTCAGGAGGACATAGTAAAACGCATCTTATCCATAGTCCTCTACAATAGTAGTTATCATAATTCCCAGCATCAGATAGAGTGGACTTGGTGAATTCTCAGACACTTCACCGTCATCGTAGTCGGCATCACCAATGAGTGCCGCTATTCGCATCAAGCTACGAACTCATCAGAGACAAGTGAAATCAATTCTTCGATCAACGTTTTGCTGAAAGCGGTTACACTATCACTCCTCTTTCTGGAACCAAGTAAAATCGGTCAACCAGAAAGAGAAAAAACGGATCTACGGGACCATGATGAATATCAGCATAGAAGGCCCGAGTCGGATTAGCCAATCAAAGGAGAGGGGATCAGGGTGAATAGCAAGTGTGATGATGCCACACTAGATTTTCCACAAAAGGACACACATTTTGACGAGTCGAATATAAACGAGCCAATAGTTGTGATAGGGCAGGAGTTGGATAAGAAGGTTAGGACTTGATAGATGGTCCAGGGCAGAAACAGGAGTGACAGTGTAACCATTTTCGGCAGAACGTTGGTCGAGGGATTGACTTCACTTGTCTCGGACGAGTTCGTAGCTTGGTGCGGAGAATTCCATCAATCACTGATGATGCCGACTACGATGCCGGCGAAACGTCTGAGAATGCGCCAAGTCCACTGTTTGATGCTGGTAATTATGATAAATACTATGGCAGAGGACTTCATACAAGGTGAGTTTTACTAAGTCCCCCTGACAACAAGATCAAGTTGCGACAACCAGATCAACCCACTTTTATAGAATTTTTAATTTCTATTGGATCCTTCTTTTTATGGTGGGGCCGAAGGTGGCAACTGTCTTTCAGTTGTATAGAAGTTCTTTGAACTTGTTTTTGCAACTTGGTGATATTGGCACGATGACCTAGATGAACGCGCCTTTTCCGGAGTCCATGGTATGCATAATAATTTATAGAACTGGACCGTGGTACATTCCCAGACGTTTCGCCCGCATGGTAGTCGGTATCGCCAGTGATCCTTACCATTCTTAGAACCACCTACAACTCTTTAAAGAGACAAGTGAATTCGATCCCTTGACCAATTTTCTGCTAAACACTTGTCATGGGCTATTCACCTATCCTCTATGCTTGTGTCACTACTTCAATAGCACTATTTCTATCTGACATATTTTCACATCTCCCGTCGGTGTCCACCTCCCTCACACTGTGTCGGGACTGTTAATCCAAGGCTGCGGTTTAATCTGCAATCCTCTCCTTTCGGGTCCTATCACGGTCCCTTATCTGTCTGTTTCAATGATTTCATACCATTGCTTCTACCGTATCCATGCTACTCAAGTCGTTATGTTCTACACTGCCTCAAGCCTCTGATAGCACGTATACCGCAGACTCACTTAGAAAGCTTCTAAAGTCTGTATTCTCATTTGGCATGACAACCTAACTTGACGTTGCAGATTTCCTTATCACTCTGCGGCATGTGCACCGAGTAAATCTCGTGGTCAAGTCTTTACTTCATTTTCCAGGTCTATGAGCAAACTTATCTATTAGTTTTTCGTATATAAGCAGAGCTTCGAGACTACCAGGAATGTATTCACCCTATTTCGTTTAAGGTGATGAAGGACTGACAGTAAAATTTTCCAGCAGTGCTATGAGTAGAGCTGACGATTCCTTTGAACTTCACATAGCCTTGCTTTCCCATAATTGTTCTCATCTAGAATGGACTGCAGCTTCGACCTCGCCTAGACCTTATCAATACCCCAAACAGAAGTCGAATCGTGACAAATTATTTTATCATTTCTTCTACGGCATCAAATTTGAGCATCGTCACGGCTATAATCCCGCTGGGGTGTTCATAAGACATAGGCGAGGTCGAAACTTCAGTGCACCTTGGGTAAGAACAACTTTTGGAAAGCAAGGCTACATGAAATTCATTAGAGACGTCAGCCCTACTCATTATTTTCAGCCTTCTCTTGTTGGTTTGACAATCTTGTGAAGTGTCTTGAGCGACACTTTCAAGCGAATGACCTTACCATCAAGGAGGAGTAATCGTTTATACTCCTCCACTTCCATTGAGAATTTAATTCTTCCATTAAATTGCTCCTAATGAAATTGCGGAACTCATCCAAATTTTTCTTACCATGCGACCAAAGTACAAATTAGTCATCCAGGTATCGCATAAGCAATCTTGACTGCAGGTGTGACTTCTCGAATTTCTTATCAAATTTTTCCATTTATTAATTTGCCTAGAGATAAGATTGCAAATATTTGCTCATATATATTGCCGTTCAGTGTAAAATATGAGGTACTTATTGTCAGGCTGATTAGTCGTGTTAACGACTTCTTCCGTATCCATTCTGCGTCCAGGATATCCTCTTCTCGTTCCATGACCTCCTGCAGGGCGGCGACTGCCTTTTTGCCTAAGATGTTTATGTACATATATTGTGCGTCAAATCTTACCAACATTTCCGTTCCTGCCAGTCCAATATTTTTGATCCTTTGAGAAAATTCATATAAATTCTTCACGGTGTTCAAGAGTCTGTCCTTTACTTAAGCTTCATGCATATAGATTTGGCTAGTTTGTGTGTTGCTCCATGCTTGTTGTCGACTACTAACCTTAGTGGTTTTCCTTCCTTGTGTATCTTCGGTAGTTCGTAGGTTGTTGGTGGACTTGCGTCATTTGTTAGTAACGAATTCATTATCCATCTGTCGATTTATCCGTTTTTATTCATTTCCTTTAACATTTCCTTTAGTATTCTGTTGATATTCATTATTGGATCCTTTCTTAGTATTTGATAAGATTTCTGGTCGCCTAGGATACTTTCTATTTTCTTCGTTTATTTTTGCCTGTCCATTATCACCGACGCATCTCTCTTATCCGCCTGAAGAATAATTTTGATCATTCATTTGTAATTTTCTACGCAGCTACATCAATCCACTCCATTTAATTGGCTCCTTATGATACATAATTATCGGGATTAATTCCATTTCCATCTCTCGTTTGGTCTCTTCCGAGTATTTCTCCGATATGCTGATAACTTCTACAAGGATATCTTCTAAAATCTTACCTTCGTTATTGAATGAAAAAATTAATATCTTCTTAATGAGATCCACCCTTTCGGAATCAAGAGGGATTGAGGATAATTTCACTGCCTTATCCCCATCGTCCTTAAGAGGAGTGGATGCAGTTACTATCGGAATATTATGATTTAGTCGAATTGGCTGAATCCTGTGCTGTATTACTATCCCATATCTAAGCAATTTCCTATCATGCCGCTTATTTATCAAGTCTCGGACCCTCTGGTTAGTCACATTCTGGAATTTTTGAAAATCATTCGGTTTGTAAACCCCGCTTATATCCTTCTTAATATATACTTAATATCTACGAATTTAAATAGCTTACGCCTCTCAGTCTCACAGCTCCTCTAATTTCTGGCTAGAGGCGTGATAGTATTCCATTAACTGTTCCGAATGACACTTACTCATTAGGTTGCAGAACCCGAAAGCGTTACCAGAATATTTGCAACAACTTAATAACGTCAAATAGTATAATTAACTTACAATTGCCTTCTTTGTCCTGTAATCGGTCCATTGTTTGGCAATCTTACTTCCATAGATCAATCGAAGGTATGAAGGCCAAGATGGTGTGGCTTTTTGTATGGTCACGGTCTCCTTTTGTTGTATAGGAGTTGTTTGGTTTTCACAACTTGGTTATATTGACAGGAAGAGCTATAGGAACGCACCTTGTCCGGATTATATAATATCCATAATAATTTCCAAAGTCAGATCATGGACTTAATTGCTTAATTCATCTTAGATTCCAGTTATATGATACTTTGCAGATTTATAAATGATCTCAAGAAAGTTAAACAATTGTTGGTCCCGTAAAGGGAAGGCCTGATATCTGCAAGCATGGGAATCAGAGCTTAGGCGCTCTGCTCAGTGAAGCGGCAGTGTATGCGCTTCTATGGCCTTGAGAAATAGCGCGTGGAGTGAAATGCATACTGGGACGGGAACCGAGTGAAATCGGTTAAGCAGAAAGATAAAGAGACAATAAGGGGATCCGGAGTGGAGACACGAGTCGGATTAGCCGATCAAAAAAAGGGGCCGGAGTAAATAACAAATGTGATGAGGCCACACTAGATTTGCCACAAAAG